GGGTATTTCCTTTGAAGATGTAGTACTTGTGCCTGAGAGGCGACGAACCACAACAGTATGCGTACACGAGAGGCGACGAACCACAACAGTATGCGTACACGAGAGGCGACGAACCACAACAGTATGCGTACAAATATGCTAGATTCGTAAAACAGAACTCAAGTGCTAGAACAAGACTAAAGTTCTTGCAGTATACTCCCCTCGATGTAGAACAGGCACTGATAGTCTTATATACCTAAGTGGACGAACAACCAGAAGTTTTCAACCGGGTGTTTACAGTCAGTGAACACAAAGAAGAAAGAAGAAGAAGAAGTTAGAAACTAAAAAAGAAACAAACATATCTTTCAATCTGAGTTTCATACGAAATCTCATACAGCACAAATATAACACACTAATTGATCATGATGGTGATGATCATCATCATCATAAACCACTTCTGCCTTTAAGCGTCGTGGGTAGGAATAATTTGCGATCCAGTGCACTTTGGCTGCCACTGGCTATTGTCATGCGTGAAGGCGTAGAGGGTCTTTAATGTTGTCGATCCATGTTTTCAGCGGCCGCCCTTTTGCTCTACACTAAATGATAGGTAACATAAATTAAGGCAAAAGTAATGTCAAAGCCTAAAAAATGATATCTTGCTACTTCTTGTCCGTATCGAACTTCGGTCGGTGAACCATTCATGCGTCGTCCTCAAATGAAGCAGCCGTCGCTGCTCAACGTATCCCTAAGAGTTGACTGGCATATCTTCTATTCTTGCCTCGCAACTGATTTCTGCATGCTTGTCGTAGTTTAATACCCATTTCCAGCAGGCGCTACGTTGTCTCTGACTCCTTTGTCTCAACGTTTCAGGAACGTATTCACTACGTCTGCCCTGTCCATACTTCTTCCTCAGCTAGCCATTGCCAGACACGACCGGTGTGCCGTCGCTTCCATTTTCTGTCACTCTCAGCAGGGTAACCAGGTATTGCTTGTTCAAACTCTATTTGATAAAGTGGAATCATAAGAATATCAAGGCAGAAATGTAGACACGTTATCAGATACAGTTCGCTATCAAAATAAATGGGAATACAAAATCGATGTTATTATATATATAATGTTGAGAATTAAAAGAAAAGGTTAAGTTTCAAATCTAACATGTAAAAAAAAAAAAAAAAAAAAAAAAAAAAAAAAAATTTAACTCATAATATGTGCAGAAAAAAATTACATACAAAAAAATCAGAACACACATATACACGCGCGTACATAAACACACACTCACAATCAAGAAAAACATACATTTACTAGTGTCTGCAGAGAACAGAAAAACTCAACATAATTAACAAAAAGCTTATGGAATTAACAGATACAATTCCGTCCTTAAAAGAGATAAGGTATACACAACAAAATAAATGGTAATACTATAATCACAGAAATAGAGGAAAACCTACAACACATAGAGAATCAAATGAGAACATAGGATATTAAGGTTGGAAAGCTGGAGCTGCGGTGAAAACCAAATAAATAGGTTCCAATATGCGTTGATTAAGACGATGCCACAAAAGATGACAAATCGTAGAAAAAGTAACTGTAGTAGTAGCAACAGCAGCAGCAGTAGTAGTAGTAGTAGTAGTAGTAGTAGTAGTAGTAGTAGTAGTAGTAGTAGTAGTAGTAGTAGTAGTAGTAGTAGTAGTAGTAGTAATAGTAGTAATAGTAGTAGTAGTAATAGTAGTAGTAGTAGTAGTAGTAGTAGTAATAGTAGTAGTAATAGTAGTAATAGTAGTAATAGTAGTAATAGTAGTAGTAATAGTAGTAATAGTAGTAATAGTAGTAGTAATAGTAGTAATAGTAGTAATAGTAGTAATAGTAGTAGTCATAGTAGTAGTAGTAGTAGTAGTAGTAGTAGTAGTAGTAGTAGTAGTAGTAGTAGTAGTAGTAATAGTAGTAGTAGTAGTAGTAGTAGTAGTAGTAGTAGTAGTAGTCATAGTAGTAATATTAGTAGTAGTAGTAGTAGTAATAGTAGCAACAGTAGTAGTAGTAAAAGTAGTAGTAGTAGTGGTGGTGGTGGTGGTGGGAGTAGAATAATATGATAAAGGAGGAGACGGAGAAGTAGTATGCTGATATGGAGAAAGAAGAAATGGAGGAAGAAGAAGAAGAAGAAGAGAAGAAGAAGAAGAAGAAGAAGAAGAAGAAGAAGAAGAAGAAGAAGAAGAAGAAGAAGAAGAAGAAGAAGAAGAAGTAGAAGAAGAAGAAGAAGAAGAAGAAAGAAGAAAAAGAACAAGATGATGATGATGATGAAGTCAACCATTGTTGACCTGAGAATAACTTTATGCAAGCTAAGGGACGTAATCTAGATAAAAGACAAAATAGAGAAGTATAGGGAGAATCCGATTATTTAGTCTCAAGGGAGTCTGGGTAATTAAGCCGCAGACAAGACATGACTGTCCAGGAAGCTCTTGAGACGTGTCTCTTGACATTTTTTGTTCCCCATATGGGTTCCAGTGCACCATTGTGGGGAAAACAAGAACAGACCCACTGCTTCCCAACAAGCATGTCGTAGGAGTCGACTAATTCGAGATTGCCTTCTAAGTCGGAGTGAATCTGCCGAGGTGGCAAGGAACAACCAACGGCACACAAATAAGACAGTAGCACGGATGTACACGCAAAACTCGGGCCCTGGCATAAAGCTGAAGTCCAAATGGGCAAACATCCAGGACTTTCCACAGGAGCTTACAGGCGGTGAGTAAAGAAGAAGATACTTTTGACAGTTTTTTTCTATTTAAATCTTGATTCCAATATGGCCGAAGTGATTATATATATATTCACGCACCCAAGAGGGGTGGGGGGTTAGTAGGGCGGAAGAGAGAGACAGAGAGAGAGAGAGAGAGAGAGAGAGAGAGAGAGAGAGAGAGAGAGAGAGAACTTTTTTGTTTGAAAGGAGACACAGTGCAGACAATTCTATTTTATATTTCGCTCTTTCAAACACAGATCTTTCGCAAAACAATTGTATTTTATGAAGTTCGTTTGTTCTCTCCCTATCCCCTTTCCCTTCCGGGCTGCTCCCTAATAAACGCATCACCCGCTGCGTCACACAATGGATAGCAATCTAATATGGGGGGGGGGGAAACATAGATACCAGCGTTTAATCTCCAAAGAACTTACAATAAGGATACAAATAATAGAAGTAAAGGACCCTTTTCCACGCCTTTAGGCATATTGGGCATATACTGCTAGACCAATATTTTATAGACCAACGGCTCAATATGGGTGATGTGGTCAGCATCACGCCGGCCGCCTCTACTTCCCGGGACTGCACCCGGTACCCACTCAAAGCTGGGTCCACCTTGAAGCCAAAGTCATTTTCGAAGAAAAGTCCAGCTCCGCCAGGGAGCTAACTCACGACCTTCCGATCCGCGGCGCGCGTCTAGCCGCTCTGCCACGACGACTCCTGGATACAAATGGCAGCTGCATGAATTTGGGTACCCTGAAGTTAGGTGCGGGTGGGGGATTCATTTTGTGTGCATTTATGTTCATCGTCATCAATTTCTACTTCGTTGTTTGCGATTCACTACTTGACTGGTAGCAATGGCCATTGTCAATACATGTCATTGTAGAAGGTTTTTAATGTCATCAATTCATATTTTCATTGGCTGTCTCTTGATTACACATCTTTTCATTTATAGCGCCTGCCTTGATAGTTGTTCTGGCTTCCATTCTTACTAGATTACCAAACCATTTCATCTTCTGTTGCTCACTTAATCTGCGGCACTGTATTGTTTTTGCAGCCTGTCTGATATTATTATTTCTAACTTTTTATCGGATGGTTAAGCTGGCGGCTTTACTGGGGCATCTTTTTTCACAGGTGTTAATTTTACGTACATTAGCCTTTGATAATGTCCAAGTCTGACACTGGCAGCGCAGTATTGGTATAAATATGGTGTTAATAACTGTTTCGTTGCGCTAATTTTTATGCTTGGATGTCTTCATAACTGTGACAATTGGTACACCTGTGCATTGGCTCGTTGGAATCGGGCTTCTGTATGCCAATCTTTTGTCCAGTTATCGGAGAATATACTTCCTAGATATTTAAAATCTTTAACTTGCTTCAGAAGAGAACCATTCAACCTGATATGTAGCGGACTAGGAATTCTGCTGACCTGCATTACTCCAGTTTTAGTAGTAATTATTTTCACATTATATCTTGTGCATGCTAAACTTAGCCTGTTAAAATGTTCTTGCAGTATACTCCTCTCGATGTAGAACAGGCACTGATCGTCTGCAAATAGTAGATCGTTTACTGTATGTGGATCTAATTCTTCTTCTGGAAAGTAAATTTAATATTCTATCTATGTATATAGTAAATAAGAGAGGAGAAGCACACACCCCTTTCTCACCCCGTACATTTATGTTAACTTTACAAAAGCAAAAGTATGCACAAGAATATGATAAATTAATCGATTCTTACACATCACATATATACATCCTTGCGTACATATATTCATACTTGCATATATATATATATATATATATATATATATATATATATATATATATATATGCAAGCGCACACACACACACAGAGACACATGCAAACAGACACACACACACACACACGCGCGAGCGCGCGCGTCGCACTGTGAGAGACAGACTATATTGTTAGACTGTTTAACAATCTTGATATATGCGATAAGTCAAGGTGTAGAAGCACAAGACAACGATAATGGTTTTACAGTAACGACTAGATTATTTTGAAATTGTTTTCCGTATTTCAAAACTGTAGGAAAATAAAGCGTAAAATAAAGACTTGCTCTAAAGTCACTGACACAAAAGGCCGCGAACTTACTCGTCGTTAGCATTCGTATATATCAGTTGTGCGCTATTTAAAAAAAAAAAAAAACGCATGCAGACAAACATGCTACCAAAGGGTTACCCAACAGAAATGATAGAAGAATGTCTGAAACAGTTACAGTGACTGAACTATCGAAGTACTGAGTTTGAACGACAAGAACACCATATGCACATACCTTTCTTGGTTGACGATGAACCTCCTTCAGAACGCGACGAAGGTACATTATCGGAGGACATTCCTATCCCGCTGTCTGGATAATTTGTAGAAATATTCTTGTTTCTCTTCTTCAGTTCTCTCTCTAAAGCTATTTTGTTGAACATCCTTGGTCGAGGCGCATCCACTTTGTGACAAGACATGGGATCAGCCAGAGCGTCCATACTTTCCTGTCGCCCCCGTGGATTACTGTTGGATTTTATGTTACGATCGTGGACATTCAAACTCTTGGTTCTAGATAGTCGACTGCCTCTTCGACCGTCAGGATTCTGCTCCTGAAGGGTTTGGTTGTTGCTATCACCAGAAGCGTCGCAATCTTCATGGAAGCCCAGATCAACGTCGTCAGAATAATTTTTGTCAATTGGCGATGACGGTAGTGACCGTAACATTTTTTGAATTGTATCACTGTCAAAAGCTAGTTCTGGTCCGTTGGGGGTCAAAGGTGTTTGAGGGGTCAGAGGTTCAGGGGGTGATGGCCATTCTGGAGAATCTGAAGACGAGGTTTTTGGAGAGCTTGGACTTGTAACTTCAGTGTTGACGCTTAACTTTTGTTTGGATTCCTTTATTGTTGACTCCTCTGGAGAAGTGGGAGTTGGAAGAGGAGGAGTTGGAGGAGAAAGAATTTGAGGAGAGAGAACTTGGGGAGTAGGAGGGGAAAGAATCTGAGGAGAAAGAACTTGGGGGGTAAGAGGGGAAAGAATCTGAGGAGAAAGAACTTGAGGAGAAGGACCTTGATGAGAAGAAACATGAGGAGAAGGAATTTGAGGAGAAGGAATTTGAGGAGGGGTCTGAGGACAAGTAGTTTGAGGAGATAGACTTGGGGGAGTCAGAGGTCTATTGTAGCTTTTAGATTTATGGTCATCACCGGCAACGAAAGATGTCTGAATTTGACCAGGATATGGTGAGAGGGATCTTCCAACTTTGATACTGTTATCTCGCTTGAGAATACCATTGGGCTTGTCCAGGCACGGGTTTATTACCGTAGGTGTGCAAGGTGTAGAGGCGTCTGTGATATTAACGCTGACTATGTCGCTTATTTGTACATGCTTAGGACTGCTACTTTTCTGATTTGCCAAATCGGAAATGGCAGAGGCCGGTCGAACATGAGGATCTACTAGTTTCAGGTTTCCTGTAGACCTAGTGAGGCTTGCTGTAGCAACAGGGGAGTTGTTCAAACTTTTACTCTGAGGAATGGACTTCGATGTGGGGTCGGTCTTGTCCTTTGTGGAAGTTGTCGTTGTGTTTTGCCCTACAATTTTAACATCTTTATTTGTAAAGGATACCATAACGGAAGAACCATGGGAAATAGAGTTGGCATTGGCGAAATCGGTTACACGACCGGAAGGGAATGATCTTCGGAAAGCAGGATTGTTGGAGTTTGTCGTGGAGACTATGGTCACACAAGAATCGTCTGCTGAGTGAGGTAAACGTCTGTGAATAACGGCGTAAGCTGGAGGCGGGGAGTGACTCAGACCACCTGTAGCCCCGTTTTGTACTTTTGTTTTAGTTGGGCTGTTGCCTGAGAGACAGCTGTTGTTGCTTCTGGAAGTTGATATAACAGTCAGACCTGCAAATTAAGAGTAAAATGTCTTAACGATATTACCACTAGCATTATAAGCTACATAAACTTAGGCCACACAATGTGCAGGGACCTCAAAAAAATTCTTATTTATTATTTCACAAATGCATTTTTATTTTAGTATATTCAAATGTCAGTTTCTTTTAATATAGAGAATTACATAATATAATCTATGTGTTTTCTTCTTCTTCTCCGTGTTTACCAGCTGTAAACTCCAGCGGAAAGTTCTGGTTGTTCGTACACTTCTAGACTGCAGTCCTGTTCCAAAACCTGAGTGTTGCGTGTGCATCCGTTTGACACATCTGACTAATTTGTATGCAGGCTGTTGGTTACCTTAAATACGTAAAAGGTCAGAAAGGAGTATCCAGTGCTACAATGTATGCACCAGCAGTATATTGCCATAACACTACTGTCCAAATTAATCTAATCGAGTTGTTGCTCGCATTAAGTGGCCATACAGAACAAAGGGAAGAAACTAGTATAATACGATAACTACAGAGAAATAAGAAGAGTTATAGGAAACGATGCGTAGAGCATGCAGGCAGGTTTTACACTGCTTTGTAGTTTCACTTATGAAGACCAGGGTTATGAGTAGGATTATTTTCACACCACTCCGGACACGCCTATTGGTGCTTAGATTCCCCCTTTTATATAAACACCAGCGTTCTGAGCTAAGTAATGCATGCTCTATCCTGATTTGAGTTGCAAGCTTGACTGGAAAGATCACGCACGGGTAGTAAGCATACATTGGATCTTTTCTCCAGGCTATGCTGGCACGATGGTTAATGAACAGGCAGACAGATCGGATGGATCTGCACCAGTGGGAGGTTAATTGATACATGCCAAGCCATATGTGGTCAAGGCCCTTTGGGAACAAGAAAAACGAATTAGTAGAGATATAAGATTATTATGGCCTGGAGAGAATGAGGCATCTGGGTGTAACTAGAGGGTATGGCCAGCTCACTATACTCAAAAGAAAGGCAAGACGGACATATAACCAGATTGTGACCGGTACCATTAGTATTGAAACTCTGCGCTGGCTGCTGAAGATGAGGAGGGAGCATGCAGGGGAATGCCCCGAGTGCTATGATGTCAATTTTTGACTCAACTTAACTCAGCTCTGCTGACTGACAAGACCTTATTTACTTCTAGTGTGCTTCCTTGTGCTTGGATGAGCTAATCTTTACCTACAATTTCCACCTTCTTAGTAGCAATGTAGATGCCCTCCCTGTTCACAAAGTCCTCCTATCGCTACTCTCTCCATATGTATTAACAATATCGGCATGATCCATAGGCCCACAGTCTGCAACTAAGTCAGAGGTGGTCAATATATCAGCTCTTTCATTGACAAGAACACCCGGGTACCACCGGGACACAGAGAGAGAGAGGTACTTCACGCAAAGTGGAGTTTTGCGATGACTCAGTCTACAGCGTATAGAGCTGCTCCGACCAGCCAGATCATGCAACAGGCACGTTGGAATAGCATTCTGATTCCAGTTACATGACTGCTCACATCACCGCCATCACCTCCTGATACAGAGTATTAGGAATGGTTCAGTCGATCCTTATATCTTCCTCAAACACTTTCAAAGGTAAATAGAGGGGAAAAAAAATGTGTTCGGCATTCGCTACAAACGTGATGCAGCCAATATTCAACTAGTTACCCTTACTTTTAAACACTGTGCATAGTTCTAATCTTTGGGTTTGCCTCTTTCTGGAATTGCAAGTGAATTTTTCTGGTTGTTTTAACCCATCTGTAAGCGAAATCGAACTTATGAAAATCATAATAGTAGGTAAGTATTCTACCTACCACTCTTTTGGGTAAATTATTTTATGTGGTACCTCTGCATTGTTAGCAGCGGTGAAGAAGCGACTAGATGCTCTGCATTGTTAGGGTTCAAATCCGCGGTGAAGAGTTTTTTCTTCAACTGACGGCGGCTCGCATGCTCGGGAGCTAAAGTCGAGTCTAAAAGTAAGTAAAGAAGTAAAGGTTTCCAATCCTTTAGGCGTATAGGGCATGTGGGGCTAGACCTATTTTTTATAGACCAACGGCACAAGATGGGTCAGCATCACTGGCCGCCTCTGCTTCCCGGGATTGCACCCGGTACCCACTCAAGGCTGGGTCGACCTGGGAGCCAAGGTCATTTTTGAAGAAAAGTCCGTCTTAACCAGGGAGCGAACCCACGACCTTCCGATCCACGCGAGTATAAAGTAAAGTCTGGAAAGTAAAGGCAGTGGGCGTTATGTTGACTAAATCGCCCAGCAGTTGCCGCTTGTACAGATCTGTAGGTCTCACTTTTTTTCAGTAGGGAGCTGCGTGGTCTTAAGGTATAGTGTCCGTGTCGTGTGCTAGAGATCCCTATTTCAGGCCCCGGTGAGAGCTGGGATTTTTTCACGTGGACTTCTAGTAATTTCCCCTGGTCTCTGGGTGGTGAGATCAAACGCCCGTGTGTATTGTGGAGCACGTAAAAATCCCCAGGCAGTTGGAAATCGAAAAGAGTAACCTAATGGCGCTGCCCGGACAGAATATGGAGTTAAAAATCTACTCAAATATTTCAGGATCCTAGCCAGTACTACGGAAGCAGTTCACTGCGCTTAGCTACTTCGGACTAAGACTTGAGTTAGAAGTATAACGGAGCACTTATGGGTTACTACCTGTGTGTCATGATGTTGATCCGCTGCTTAAAACCTCAAACTATTTTTCAGTGCTGTTGTAATAGACACCTTTTGATGAGTACTGAGCCTGGATCTTCATGGTGAGTGAGTAAATGCTCTTTCCCTGCCATTACACGTATTGGGCTTATAGTGCTGGACATATTTTTTATTGACCACTCGGAGTTGGGTGGGTGATGTGGTCAACATCATGCTGGCTGCCTTTACTTCCCAGGAATTTCCCTGGTATCAATTTGAGACAGAGTCGATAAAGGTAATTTTTTAAAAAAAAAAGGTCCCGGATCGTTCGGATCTGAACCGAAGAAATTCTGATCCGCATGCGATCGTCCATGAAAGGCGCTTGCCCGTCTCACGCTGTAAACCCGACTACCAGAATGAAAGGAGATCATATCTCCGCACTTCTGTCTCAGCGTGTTGTTATGTTCAACCAATGCAGTCACACTATTGAAACTCTAATAATAAAATCACTTACCTTGAGTGTGCTCGCATCCGTCCTCTCCGCGCAGCTCCGATGTTATGTTGTGCGAATGATGAACTGGGGAACTTGGCGAGGACGCGCTCTCGTTTTTATTTCGATGTCGCTGTGGACAATGATGATGAGGGTATGATCTACTAAAAAATCATGGGCATCACAAGCATTTCTTGACAGGTATAAATAAGCAGAACATCATCCTCAAATATATTGTTTACGTCCTTCTTAGGACGTAAATTTTTGTTATTAGAAGCCCCAATCTGGCTTTTGCCAAGGGCCGCAATATAGGCAGGCCATCAATATGGCCAATTGTCTGAACGCGGTTTCTGGGACCTCTCCACGGTGATTCTCATCCGCATGGTGGCACTTTGTGTCATCGGGTGTTTATCGCTTGTGTGATGTCCTGGTGGGGTAGAAAGTCAGTCAGTCACTCAGTCAGTCCCCAAGTGCCTTGCCAGCTGGCGTGGGCGTCCATGCATCTCCACAGATCTCGATCTTTGGTGTCCTGGAATATTTAAACTGATGATATTTCTCCATTTCACTGTCTTAAGCTATCCACTATCGTTTCTCTTGGTCTGCCTTTGCCTCTTCTAAAAGTGATATTTCAAGTCGTCACGATATTTTTCAGTGCTCCCTTTCTCATTCTACGACCAAAGAAATTGGTGTCCTTCACAGTGTTGTACATAATATTCTACTTTCATTAGCCACTTCCAGGCATGCATTGTTAGTTATTCTGGCAGTCGAAGGTATTCGAAAGATTCATCTTAAGAACCACATCTCAGTTGCCTGCAAACTCTTCCTAATTTGTTTACTCACATTCCAAGATTCACCACTATACAATAAAACAGGCTCGGTAGAACATTTAAATAAATTGTTACGTAAATAAGATGATTTAAGTCACAGCACTCGGGGCATTTTCATGCATGCTCCGTCCTCATCTTCAGAAGCCAGTTTAAAAAAAAAGAGAGAAAATTATAGGGAAGAGAAAAAGTTGGTAAGAAACAACAAATAGTTTATGTTAGCTTTACAAAATCGATCACAATAAACAAACAAAGGACGTTGCGGCGATTAGCCTTCATCAGCACATAAAGGACAACACAGTACACATACACAAATATGCTCTAACTATGAAGTGACTGCATAGGACTCTAATGCATAAAATAAATGATACTCATCTGTGTCCCTGGCGAAAAAAAACTTCGTACTAGAAAATGACTAGGTCAGCTACTAGCCTATATATCTCCAACGCGCGGGAGGGAAGCGAAAAATGGGGCGGAGTAGACGCCAACAGCGTACACTGAGTCTTCGGAAGCCTGCACAGAATTCCCATACTGATATTACCGGTTAAATCTGGTTCAGAGTCCGTCTTGCCTTTCCTCTGAGTTTAGTCAGTCGGTCAGACCCTCTAATTACACCCAAGTGCCTCATTCTCTCCAGGCCATAATGATTTTCTTTCTCCTCTGATTCCGTAGCTTGTTCCCAAAGTGCCTTGACCACATCTGCCTTGTCATGTATCAATTCACCACTGTTCATTACCTACCACGCAGGCATGGCCCGGAGAAAAGATCCAAAGTATGCTCACCACCCGTGACTTTTCCAGTGAAGCTTGCCACTCTATGAGTCTGTTACAATTACAATGCTAGAGGTTGTGGTGTCATATGCTAGGCTGTCTTGCACTAAAGATTTTCCAATGGCTTTCGCTACGTAAATAAATACACAGGTTTCCAGTCAAAAGATAAGAAAAGGAGACACGGGAGCTCTTTCGCTCACATAAAAAACTGTGTGTGTGTATCTCTGTTTGTGTTTTCCCCCCTCAGAATTACAACAGTAAAACTTAGCAAAAAACCCACAAAAAATCAACATTTCATGTTAAAAACAAATTCATCCCAATTGTAGACTGATAGTCATACACCCCTGTTGGAATGAAAAAAAAAAGTACATCGTTACTAAGTGTTTTTCTAAAGCAGAGTTGTTTGCAGAGATTTTACTGTCATCATTATGTAGCACTCCTTTGTAGAACGCCGCACTCCATCGGAAAGAAACTTTCTCTTTCGCCAGCTGTCTCGCCTCGTGAACATTCCTACCAAAGGTATCACTTACTGTCCCGTGCCCATCTTTCTGCTGGTTGACACCTGCCAGTCTTTCCGCTAACCTGGGACTGATAATTTATTCGTCCTTGCTGTTCGTCCTATGTAGTCACTTCATAGTTATAGCCTATTTGTGTATGTGTATTGTGTTGTCATTTATGTGCTGATGAAGGCTAATCACCGCAACGTCCTTTGTTTGTTTATTGTGATCGATTTTGTAAAGCTAACATAAACTAATTGTTGTTTCTTACCAACTTTTTCTCTTCCCTATAATTTTCTACTCCTTTTTAAAAACTTCGTCCTTGCTGGAACCATCAGTACTGCCCTATTCTTATGCGGTTGAGTGCTAACGAGACTTTGCTGTGCTATCCGGGGGAGAGAGGGGAACTGCGTGGTCTCGAGGCTTGGTGTCCGCCTTAAGTGCTAAAGGTTCCGAGTTCAATCCCAGGTAAGGGCTGGGATCTTATTTTACGTG